GAAGTACCAAAAGAAGCAGTTGTGTAGGATCTGAGCTACATCACTACATTTGTAAGAGGACGGTTCTGCTTAGAAATGCGAAAATAACCTGAGAGAGAGCCAATTAAAAAGCCAATTGCAGCCAGCGAGAGGACAGTAATCAAAAACGAGAAGTTAGTTGCATGTATATTTAAAGCAATATTCGGTAACGTAATGCTTTGAACAGACGTTGAAATACCCTGAAATATCATAAAAAGCAATATTATCCAGAAAAGTTGCCTGCCGCAAACAAACAAAGCAAGGAATGGAAAAGCTCGTGGGTGCTCAAAAAAAAAAACTCCTACAAATGCTAGCCAAGCATTCCAACAGGGACTAGCCAGATGTTTCTGACAATCTGTGCAGCTACATAACAAATCTAGCACAAATTCGAGGAAAGATTTTACCAGTGAGCAGAATGAAGCAGCAAGAATCAAGTTGTGGCAAATCCCTTCACTGCACCTCCGCTTCATTGCATTCTCCTCACACCTCGCTCTCCCCAGCAATCTCTCCTTAAATATATAGTTACGTGACTCGAAAAAGTAGCTCAAAAAAAAAGAGAGCCAGAAACACACTTAGAGCAAGGGGAAAAAATCATATCGTTTCTTTTCTCAAGCAAATGCTTCAGAAAGATTTGCACAGGCTCAGAATTAACATAACAACTAATCAAGCTTCAGCTGTTCTCTGCTGAGCATAACAAAACTGACCAAAATTTGCGCTGATACATTACCCCCACAGCTCTCCAAGACTAGGGACGGACACCGCAACACATGTACTCTAACATAAATATGTAAATGTATATATACATGCTAAGCTTATCCGGCTTTTATGAATGTTTTCAGCATCCGAACTAAAAAGATTCAGACCCAAAAAATGAGTACAAAATTCACACTATCTTTAAACTCTGCAATACGGCCCACCCTGTAAAACCCACACGAACCTATGCAAGGTCCGCCGTGACCAGCTGGATATTCGAGGGAGGAACGTGAAAATAACTGAATCAGAAGTGAAAAATTTACTAGCGAACAATAAAGAGTGCAAGAAGAAAAGTGGGAAATACAAACTTTCACACAGGGTAGATTCGACCCGTTGTCTTCTTCCTCCGTTAGAGTGAGATATCCATCAGTTTTTAAACTCTGTTGTTCTGTGGATGAAAATCCCGTTGCAAAGTTTGTACCCGTTTGAGGACTTTTCAAATTTGAAGCAATTACTGAAAAACAGATTGATATTTCCGCACGAAAAAACCTATTTCGGATGCAGCACCAGGATCTAAAAATGCACATCACGTAGCGCTGCACCTTGCAATGCAGTTCAGGTAAAATACTGTTTGATATTCAAAGCAACGAGCGAAAAAATGATTTTTAGACAAAATTGAACTCTTGAATTCCCCGGAAGAAATTATGTCAACAGCACAACTCTTCATTTTACAAGTACGATCCTGCTAATACAAAATCGAAGGATCGCCAACAAAGTCGAAAGTCAGAATTCTCAATGTATTCTCTCCCCACAAGGCAAATTACTCGGAAGCGCCTCAGCATGCCAAAGCAATCAGCTTCTAGCATGGTTGCCGATGGATCCCTCCATCATCGATGGTTGCTTACAAGCTTACAGATTTCGACCCCGAGATGACCAACAAATTAATTCTAAAAAATTCATTTCTTAGGCACAGCGCTTCACCCTTATAGCTTTTGATGGGGGAGAAAAATGAAGGAAATAACGTAAAACACCGAGAAGTTTCGCCAGGATCGAAACCGGCACGAAATGAGTCCATATTACGTAGAATCATATCAGCTGCATACGAAAGAACAGGAAAATTACATGGGAACGCCATTTCCCTCACTACGAACAGAAAAAAAAGCAAAACGGAGATGAAACTTACTGCCTAATCGCGAAAGAATTTCTGCGTCTTCGTTAGTGCTCAGCATGCTCCCGGATGTAAGAATCAACCTGCAATGCAGATTCTCACCAAAACTAGCAGTGACACTTGCACGGGCTTCGGAAAATCCAGATGTTTTACCTCC